CCGCATAACGATTTTTCCTAATAGTGTTTACAAAAATCCAACCCCAAAGCCCCACAAAATCTTAAAATTATTTCAGCAACTTTCTTCCCACTAATGAGAAAAATGTTACCCCAACAGCAAAGTTTTCATTAAAAAATTTTAACCTGATGCAGAAAAGTTTACGAGGAAAAAAAACATACAACACAGAAAAGAAAGCCATAAGTTGTCCTCTCCCTCGTTCATTTCTCGCTAACTTTCAAAACCTGATGAAAAGTGGAAACACCTTACAAACTTCCGTTACGCACTGCTTCAAAGCCTACGGCCAACAACATTAAACAGCTACTTAAATGCAGACTGAAGACTCCTACTGCAAGCAGATTTTGCCGACTACGCTTTTTCCACTGCTCAAAACGGATACGGCTAATTTTCACATACACAAGAAAACGTTTGGCAAGCGAAAAGAATCGATCGTTTTACACTATCACCAATAATGATATTCACCGAATGAGTAGATTCACAAAAGTACATCAAAGCAGAAAGCTACCCATCGAAAATAATATCGTTTTCCAGCAAACTCGTCATCCCAGTTACATATCTTCAAGTCGTTTTCACCACATTAGTTCCATGGTTCACATTAACTATCAAGCAGCAGATTATCGCTTAGGAAGTACAAAAATCCTTTTTTCGAGCGGTCTCTTACTGTAAATCCAACGAAGTAGAATCCCTCCACCATCCTGCATAAATCCTTCTAGCAAGGACGCAGCGGTGCGGACCCTTAGTGTACCGAAAAATGAAGACAGCCTTCAAAGTTTGTTGCCAGTCAACGCTCTTTGTCCAGTACCCAATTCTTGCCCGTCGAGGTACAAACACAAATTCCAGCACCGCATATCTTTTTGATCAGAACAGTTCTTTCCCAGAAATTCAGGAACCGTTCAACCAAACAAATATCTTTCTTTTCACTTGCATGCAGATCGGCCAGCACTGCATCTCATATAAACTGCCTCCATAAAACTTCCTGTTTTTTCTTTTGTAGAGCACCAGTTCTTCCTAGTTATTTGGCTCTTTGCAGTCTTCATCACTGACAAGAAACTCGCTCTCTTACTCGGATGGATTTTTCTAGCTGCCGCAGTTTCCGGCAGTACTTATAATTTATCGCCCGTCAACGGTTACGTATATAGAGCTACGCTTTGAAGGAGTTTTCTCCGCACAACATGGTCTCCACACCACTTTGGAGAGCCAGTATATACCGTCTTTGCAATTAAATAAACGTTCCACTCAACACTGTCGACAAATATGAAATGTATCGACGGTACCATCAAGAGAAACATAAAAACTATAATTTTCCAAAACTGATTCGTTTTTCTACCGTTATGACTTTTATTCCGTCCTTCAGTAGGCACCAATGATTTCTCCTTTTTCTTCTCATTTCTTCTGTGCCCATCTCTTGTGTGCAACTCTGACTCAGATCTGCAAGGCTCCACACCCTCATTTGCAGCTTTTCTAATTGCTTCTTCGTCAACTTCAGCAGAAATTTCTGGGTAATCCTCTTCATTGTAGTCGATCACTAGGTTTATCTTGCTCGTCTTCTCGCAATCGCTTCTTTCTTTTCTGAAATATCAGTCGGATTGTTAGAAAAACTTCCCTGTACTGTCAGTACAAGAAAGACAGTAAACTGGAACATTATAAAGGACAAAACGTGCCTCGAACGTAGCTTAGCACTATCACCGTTCCTAATATGGTACCTTTTCCTGACTTTACTGACATCCTTTACAGCAGTGTCTGGAATCGCATTTGACGCTTCGTTATCAACTTCATCTAAAGAACAAATATACAAATTAAAATGCTAAACTGAAACAGTAACACGATAATCCTTCCACAGAAAATAGTGTTGATTTTCCAGAGAAATTTAGAATCTACAAGAATAAATAAACCTTACTGTACCCCGTATCAAATAGATGCACTTTAAACCAAAGGAAAGAGAAGTGAAGCATAAAATGAAAGTGAAAAGTGTGACTTCCTCAAACAAGGATTCTTTAAGCATTAATTGTGAATTGACTGTGCAACCAGCAGAAGAGTTGTTAGCAAAAACAAGATTTAACGTACAACTGTCTAACTCCATAAATACACCGGAGGCGAAGATATCATCGTGCGAAATGTTACCCCTCAACTCTTTACATTCGTCTATTTCCTCTGTTCTTTGCTTCGAACGATTACGTCTTTCATTTTTTAAAACATTTTCTTCCAGGCGTCCATGATTGAATGTTTGTTGTTTAGAACTCTTAAAGTCCAAAAAAGTCTGCTCCTTCCCTTTAACTTGCTCATCGCCATTTCCTGACGCGCGACTTATTACAGAATCCTGAAGTGAAAACTTGGTAAACGATTATATAATAACTCTTCAATAAAACTCAAAGGGTATCCAATTAAGTCGCAAATTAACATTTCAAAACTTCACTTCCCAAACCTATTTACTTACAGTACTCTAACCTGCATCGCTAACAAAACCTTAACAAAACCAACAAGTGCTCCTCCACTTGCATTTACCAAACTATTATCTCCCTAATTTACGCTCACCCACTTATAATCTTCTGAAAACTCAAGATGAAACATTGTAACCAACCAGCTGGTCACATTTATCATAGCATTCCTCGTCCACGCAGAGCAAGTCATCGAAATCCAAAAAACTTCCCTGAAAAGAAAAACAATCACTCCTCAGTGGAAGAGAAAGGCGGACAACCCGCCACTAGACTCTTAAACGCCCACAGAGACATGATAATTAAATTTGTTCAAAAATCAATATTAAACAGGAGAAGACAACTAAAAATCCTCTTCAGCCCTGATCCTGAAAAAAACAAGGCAGCACGGTTAGAAAACAGCAGCAAAAAAAACTGCTTGACACCACAGGTCCCTACTAAAACCCAAAACGATCAAGCCACTTACCATCACCATTTATCCAACCACTAACATTAGTATCTTCGACTAGTTATGCGTTTGTAAGACACCTAAAATACCAGAGTTAAATAAAAAATTAATCAGTTCTGTAAACAAGCGTTCCAAAATTCGCAACGATAAGATATAAACCACAACAGATGAAACACATTAGCGTCCGGCAAAAGCACCTAAGGTTCATAAGTCAAAAATTTCAGTAAGCACGCATTGCACTATCGAACTTAAAGAGCAGCTGTAGTAATTTACAACACTCGTACAGGAAACCGCAGCACAGAACAAACCTCAAAAACCGAAAAAAAAAAAATAAATAAACGAATTTAGCAAATCCCTACAATGGTTTGCCACAATTTAGATCTCATAGAGAAAAGAACTCATCTTGAAATCTATCAGAATAAAAAACTAAACACATGCTACCAAACTGTATTTATTCAAATCAAATAAGAAACTTATAACAATTTATTTTCAACAAGAAATATAAATGCAATAACAGCGCATACAATAAAACAAGCCTTAAGTTTAACAGTAATCAATAAGTATGTACACACTGTTCAAAATCAACATATTATTGAAACCGGCTAAGCACTTACTGCATAAAATGACTAATTTACGAATATCATGTTCTAGCAAATCCAAATGTAACTTTATAGCCTTATGGAACCAAACACTTCCAAAACATACAATTATACGCGATCAGACATAACACAGTTTCTAAATAACTCCATTACAGTTTCGTAATAAAACAAAAAAATATTGAGAGATCAATGCATTTGTACTAAGATTGAAGAATCCTACGACTGAATCCATATAGGCGCTAAAGGTGGCGCTTTCATTTTTTCAAAATCAAGCCGTTTGTCCAAATCCTCATCTAACTCACCAACGACTGCCCTGAAACTATCAAAAAATGAAATATTACAATCTAAATCCTGAAGAAAATAAGCCACGCCTTAATATAAGCCAATCAAGACAAAGACGGTCCTAAATAACAGAAAAGTGTGCTAATATACTGCCGATAATGACTCTTTTTCGCTAATTAGCTGGTTTAAAAAGAGTTTTTGTGAACAGAATATTTTGACTTAATAAACAGAGCGGAATTTATTGCCTATGCGAAAGATAACCCTAACCCGCGAACGGCAGAAAATTTCCAATACCACCATCATTTTTAATCCTTAACTTCCAAAGATTCAAACAGTGATTATTTAAAATTAAAAACAACATCTCCCCCAATCTCCCACCAACAACTCAGCGTTTCAAAAACACTAACTCAAAGCCAATTCTTTTCTTTCATAATTTGCAACTCTATTAAAATCCAAAAATCCTAACAGCCACCTCCCTTCAGTACCCAAAAACAGATCATATAACTTCGACTTCGCCCTTTAAGGATACATTCAGCTCAGCGAAAATGAAAATATGGTAAAGGAAATCTATCAGGCACAGCACTAAAATTAATTCGAGTTTTTTGCAGCGTAAAGAGGTATCAACAAATATATAAGAAAATATGTAAAAGCATAAGCCAAAATAACTTTTACGGGTGACGCCCTCAAACCTTTATTATCTTTAGATTCAAAGTCCCTTCAAAGGATAGGATAGAAACTGCCAAGTCCTATATGCAGTAAGAGCAGAAGGAACAAGATAAAATTAAAAACCTTTTTCTTAAATAGTATTCAGAGATAGGATATTGAATACTGTTGAGACCATACTGTGAGATATAAGGTCGTAGAATTTTGAGTACTCAAACAAAATCTAACGAAATAAAAGAATAAAAGTAAAATGAGATAAATAACGATAGGCTTGCTTGATGACGCTTTGAAACCCACTACTCTACTCATAGACTTCTCAAGTGCCCACGACCAAAACAAACCGTCACGAAATGAGGAAATGGCAAAGAAAAAATTTCAAGACACCTACACATTGTCGCCTCGAACAATGTATAAACCAAGAGGGATTTGTTCAACACCTGCTTCTTCGCTAAACACACGTTCATGGGAATCCTCAAGAACAAGATTGATAGTCTGATCAAATCCTTTCATAAGGCCAACAATATTTCGGCCATCACCAGTAATCACTGATATAACTTTGTTCATGAAAGATTCCAACGACTGCGTCATCTTTACCTTAAAAGTATAATAAATACTCAGGTTCACAGATGATTTTCTACCACTGAATACACTAGCTAGAACATTACCACAACAGTATTACAGAAAATGCAGTGATTTTATACCGCTCAACAAACCTTTTATCACTGCGATACTCTTAGCTTTAACCACTGAAAGAAAGAGCTCTAAAAACACTATACAACACCGATAAATTAGCAATCAGACAGTGAAAAAGAAAACAGTTAACAATGTCAAATGTTAACCCGATAAATGATGGAACAGCATCAAAATATAATGGCCGAAATAAAATTAAACTGTTCTTTGACTGATACATCATTCAACTATTTAAAACGCTTACTCCCACTGCTGAAGCAATCCATAAATAAACAAACGCACACAAACAAATACGCCCAGCAACTAATAGAATAAAACAAACGGAATATTGAACAATAAAAATTTTCCTTCTTCTCAACTAAAGAAAAAAAAAAACTGATGAAAAAAGACTGCCAAACTTTCAACCCTGTCAAAATAACACGTAAAACAGTGACAAGAACAGTCATAGATGATCAGAGTTCCCATGAAAAACATCACTGATAATAAATTTGCACCAGCAAGTGTATATATACGCTCACACAGACACACACTCAGACAGACAGACAGACA